CAGCCACAGTTAACTCTGCTTAGCCTTAATCCAAAAAATTCTAAAGGCCACAATGTAACTTATTTAAGATATTTAGTCAAATCTCCTCCAAATGCATTCCCAGAAGCACTGACTAAGCATAAAATGCCCCAGCCCTCTCCTACACATCCCTGATGGTGTGGCTCTCTCTGCAGGAGCAAAGCAGCACTTATGAAGAATAGATCAGAGGATGAGGAAAAGCACTTGCAAGCCCAAGGAAGTCTATGAATCCGTAATAGTCAATATTTTCAATAGTATTTAGTTTACCTTCGCATATGAAAGTATTAAGAACCTTGAGTTATGAATGCTGAAGCTCTTATTTCTTTTTGACTATGGTCTAGAATACAATCAATATTCAGTTAAGTTGTAATTTACTACAGCTGAGGCCCAGGCTGCTCGTCTCCAATTTTCTATGAATTCTGAGAGCTTTCAAGGTCAATCATTCATTACCAAGTTCCTTGTAAAAACACATATATTGCAATAAAATGCTACTGTGATTTCCATTTTCAAGTAAATTTGAGAACAAATTTCCAGAATTTCTCTGAGCTTGTAGATATATTCAAATACAAAAAAAATATAGATGGTGTAGTAAATTTGTCAATTTTATGTAGTTCAGCAACAGTATTTTACAGTGACAAAGTGTTCTGTAGAAATAATGTCCCTTAAAATTTAAATCATATTAAATCCTAACCAAACTGCTTCTATATTTCATAATATTGTGATCAAATACACCCTCCAGAAGTAATGATCCAGCAGGCTGCTAAATGAACAGGCCAATTTTTCCATGTAAATAAAATCAATGGCTGCAACCATAAGCTCTTTATCATTTTTGACTTCTTGAGTAAAGATCATGTTAAAAAAAAAATTCAAAACAAGAGTTTCAAAGCATATATTTTCTGCATGACCAATGAGGTCCTTGAATAGGGATGCTCTACAAAGCTAATTAAATTCTTGTTTAAGATAAGAGGGGATGTAATTCAAAACAAATACTCTCTTCTGGATCACGCACACACACAGCTATTAGCTATCAGGGAGTTCACAACTACAATATTCCTCTTTCTATCTATAGTAGACTCACACACACACACACACACACACACATACACACACACAACCTCAGGTATTCCTCTAAAGTTCTGCTACTCAAATCATGGTTCCCTGCCCAAATCCAAGCCACAACTGTTACTAACATATAATGAAATAAGTACAGAGATTGAACTAAGTGTATCATGTTGTTGTTGTTGTATGTGCCGTCGACGCCTCATAGCGACCCCTCCTTGGGTTTCTGAGGCAGTATCACTACAGAAGTAGATTGCCA